TTATACTCACTGTGAGAACTAAGGGGTTAATCTTCTGCATTGTGTAGAAAAAAACTGTTTGAGCCTGTCTTCTCTGATCCTTCCCTTCTTCTACTGTCCCCAATCCATCTGCTGATAGTACAGGGCTCTAGGAGTCATTTTGCACATACTCAGTTTCGTGCGCATGGCTAGAGTTTTTTGTTCTACAGGAGAGTGTATGTAATCAGCACAGAGGCTATCAGCACTGTCCCAACAGAGGTCAGGGGTCCTGCATCCTCCTAGAGCACAATGAAAACTCGTACAAGCTTTACCAGTGCTCTGCTGAACTCTGATAGAAGTCACAAAAGAGCACTAACTGCTGATGAGAAAAGGTATTTAGCAGTTTATATTTATTAAAATAATTGCATTTTCATGTTTTGTGCACTGTGGGAGTGTTTAGTATCATGCTAACAGCTTTTGTTAAATGGATTTGAAGAAACCTTGTGTAGGGCACGTGAATTTTGTATACCTGTATACACATTCCTTGTGTACCCACCCTATACTGTATCAGTCATTCTTTACCTTTATTCTATTTTTTTTATGCATTTGGGGATGTAGTGCTTTACACTATATACCCTCAAACTTCATTACTCTTATAACATCCCTTTTTATTTTGACAATAAGGGAGGAAAAGCTGCAACATAGATATAAAAAGTTGATGGGGGTTCTACCTTTCCCCTTCACTACTAAAAAGTATTTTTTTTTTTCTCTGGTGTTGTTGGAGATTTATCCTTACTTCCTCTCTGGTAAAACCACTGACACCAACACCAGGACAGGAACTGAGGGGAAGTCCACTACAGAAAAAATTAGGTAGGCACGTGAGGGGTCCTAACATGGGAAAATATGCCTGACCGTTCTGGGGTAGTCATTCTCAACTAGGGAACCCTAGGGTTTCTCCAGAGGTTGCAAGGGGTTCTTCGAGCTGTGGCTAACTGACCTCCCATCTGAGTGCATTCATAGATCCAAGTCCGTCACCACTTGGCAGAACCAGTAACATGACACCAATGAACTTTAATGCTGTCTGTATGGGTGGCATTCTAACCACCCACTTCAGGGTGGACATTCTTGCCACAGACCACCAATGTACGGGGCATTTTCCTAATGGTCCCTAATGAAATTATCTTAGCAGGGGTTCCCTGAGATGTAAAAATTATTTCAAGAGTTTCTCTGGGGAAAAAAGATTTAGAAAGTCTGTTACGGACTTTGTCCCAAAGGCTCCAGAGAGCTGAAAGCAGAGTTTTCAGCAAAAGTGAATGAAGCGTCTGCTGATGCCAACACCCACAATGGAAAGCTGACCATAAAGCTTCGTTCACATGGGCATACTACAGCATACACCCATGTGAGGACAGTGTTTGCACACATCTCCATGTATCTCTGTGCATGCAGTCCCTTGAATGGGCTCAAATTGCACCGCACAGAACTGCGTGCTATGCAATGTGGTGCGGTTCTTGTGCGATTGTCATGCAATTTGTAGTGTGAACCTAGACTAATCGGAGTAAACTAGAAATAACTGAAATACAATGTGGAAATGAATATATGATTTTACATTTTGACGATAGATACACTTCAACCCTCCTCCAACCAAGTCCTTGACGTACACCTGTTGTGAGAAAAATGCTGCTGAAAATACTTGGTAGCTGACTATTGTACTGACCCTCCAGTATCAATATTTTAAATCACTTTTCCTGAACTAGTGTGAAAAGTTCTTGTTTGCATAGTTATTCAAGTCAAATAACAGATCATAAACAATCATATCCTCTCATTACCCTGGCTTCCTTAGCAACTTCCTTCCTGTTCACGCCTAATATTCCGGATAGATTAACCATGCAGATAGATGTCTTATTACTGGAAAGAAAAAGCCTTATTCCACATTGGTCAACTAGTAGATCCAGAACAGAACTAGAAACACTTGATCTTTTTCAGACCTCCAGGAGGTTGTCAACCTTTCTTTAGCTATCTACAGATCCCTCAATATGCTCAAACTTTTACTAGCTCCCTCCAATTTTCTAAATTGACGGCCTTTGAAAAACGTGTCTGGTGAGACCATCTTCTAAAGGCCTGATTTCCCAGATATATAGGATACTTACCTCCCTCTCACTTCTGTTTAAACATCTATACATGTGCATATGGGAATTCATTTTTAAGTGGGGAGTTACCTATCCCTATCTGGCAAGCCATATGTTCTTAGGCTTTCAAAAGTTCCATATGCACTTTATGTAAGGAAAACCAGTACAAAATCCATTGGTATATGACCCCAGTCCTGCTTAGGTCAATATATCCCACTGCAGATAATCGATGGTGGCGATGTAGAAAAGAGCTGGGTAATTCACAGCATATATAATGAAGTTGTCCACTCTATATCTCTTATTGGCAAGCTGACCATTCTCTCTTATACATTCCCTCTTTGGCTCCTGGACTCTCTTTTCTTTTAAAATGTTTCTATTGGGGCTTCCACCTTGTACATATACTAATGGAAGCCAGATGCTTAGTTGCCCTCCAATGGAAATGTACAGAACCCTCTTCTCTGATAGAACTCCGCACAAGAATTCTGGGGCGTAAAGAGGATGGAATACCTTACAATAAACAAAATCAAATACAAACGTGTCGCGTTCCACTACACGTTTGTATTTGATATTGTTTATAGTGACACACGTGTATGAGTATGTGTATGGTGTAGGCGACCCACTTACTTGAATTTTTTATTCTTTTATTATTTATTCAAATAATTATTTATATATATTTTTGCACATATTTCACTTATTTATATTTTATAAAATTATAGTGATTTTTAATTTTATTCACCCACTTTACAAAGACAAAATACACCATAATAGATCACAAGAATCACGCTTTTAAATGGAATACCTCACTGCTACCCTTAACTCCCAGGATAAACACAATCAGGTTTGGGAACCCTGGAAATACCTACCCCCCCCCCCCCCCCCTCCACTCACTGATCAATCCCCTGTCTCCCTATGACCTCATTTAATTACAATCACTTGGAGGATGGTCCCAGTTATCACTGGTGATCTGGTTGTCTGGGCTTTGTCTCTTTCTTTCTTTTTTTCTCATTTTTTCTCCCCTCTCCCTAGCTCATTCTGTTTCTCTTTATTTTTGATACTCATCATGGGTATCCACGTTTAGTGATGTATACTGGGTTACATGTCCTTGTAATGTGTTAGAACTCCTTTGTTTGGGTAACATTGTGATTTGTTCAATTGGCACTTCACCTTTTAGTAGATATTTACTATATTTTTGTGATTACAACTACTTCTTTCTTATTAGTACTGTGAGTGAAAATGTCAGAGAGATGGTTTTGATTTTGCAATGCTTTTTGTGCCTAAAATATTCTATGTACAAGCCTGGTGGTTATCCTGTGATCTAATCCTCAAAAATCTATCTTAATAAAAACTGTCACTTTTCGGGAAAAAAAATATCACTTATATCTCAATAATCCCTGAAACAGTCAATGCACATGGCAATTTGGTGGATCAATTAAACTCTGGATTTCTGTTAATGTTGAAATTAAAAAGCAATCAAACACATCGCTTCAACAAAAAAGGGCAGAGGATAGAAATTGCCTCGATGAAACCCAACTGAAAAATCTGATCTAAACCTTGCCATAGTATTTCTTTATTTTCAATTGAATTATCAGTAAACTGTTGTGCAGCTGTTTGTTTAGTCCCTAATTTTGAATGCACCATCGACAGAATTATGATAGTGATCGAACTTGTGGGTGGGCATATGCCTAGTTTTTTGGCTTTTACTTGGTTGGCTATTTGAAGTGGTTGAAATTGACTGAAAATTGTCATACGTACAGTATGACCAGCTTTTACCTAAAAGCAGAGCTAAACACTTCATTACTCCCTTGCTGGTGTTGACATTTTCTCCCTGGTTTCTTCTGGGGTTGCCATCTTCTGCCATCTTACTTAGCTGGGCCAGGATCAGGTAACTCCAGTGTATGTACACAGACGTTCATTCATGATGGCACTGAGCCATGCTGAGAAGCTACAATAAGCGGGGCATGTGCATTACATTTTAAGTCATCCAGCAAGGAGGCAGTTACCAAGCCTTTATTGCAGAAGAGACATAGTAGGGGTTTATTTATAAAGCTGGAGAGTCCAAAATCAGACTCACTTCTGCATAGAAACCAATCGTTTCATTGCCAAAACTTCATTGAACAAGCTGAGGTTAGAAGCTGTTGGTTTCTATGCAGGGCAAAGTTCCCCTGCACTTTAAGGGCAAAGTTCCCAAACCCAACTCTAACCTTCAACCCAAGTACTAGCTTAATCTAACACTTGATTAACCCCTGTGACAACATACACTCATCTTATCAGGTACCTGAAACATAATCATGGAGAACTACCAGTCCTGCACTGAGATCTACCCAGGCTGATCTACTGAATCCAAGAAGACATGAGTCAAGAGTCATTTTCTAATGCAGGTTCCCTGTGATGCCCCCATCCATCCATAGCTGGGGGTAAAATGCAAGTGAACAATCAACTGGAGGCTGGAAAACCAGTTCCACATACTATTGTTTCACCTAATTAGCCAATACAAGATGTCTCTTCTCCATCTCTTCCTCTGTCCTTTCCTATGAACCCCTTGATTACCTGTCAAGTTTATTGGCACTTTGCAGCTTTCCATAGACAGCGGATGGATTACGCCTGCACAAATGACCACTGTTTCATGTCTAAGGGTTGTTTTGTGGTAACATTATAGCTGCCATAACTAAAAGTTTAACTTGAACAAAAATAAGATTGATGAAGAATGATCAATTAAAGTGTTATTAAACCCACAACAGTATATGCAGTAAAGCATGCTTGATAAACTCACTGAGGAACCTAAGCGGTTAATACTCTGCATTGTGTAAAAAGGCTCTTTGATCCTGATTTCTCAGATCCTCCCCCTCTTAACCCTGTTAAGACATATCTTGTGGAGACACTATGCACATGCTCAGTTTGGTGTGTACTGCTAGAGAGGTTTTTTTTTCTTGGGACAGTGCATGTGATCAGTACAGGGCCAGTCAGCACTGTACAGAGAGAGGTCAGGTGTTCTGCATCCTCCTAGAGCAGAAAAAAACTCCTCCTACAAGCTTTAACCAGTGCTTGGCTGGACACTGATAGAAATCACAAGACTGCTCTAACTGCTGATGAGAAAAGGCATTTATCAGTTTATATTTACTAAAATAATTGCATTTCCAAGTAGTGTGTACTGTGGGAGACCAGATATAGTGACTCCTGGGTTTAGTAACATTTTAAGACTATAAAGAAGAAAGTGGGCGCAAAAGTAAAGTCGTGACCCATGGAAAACCAATGGGAGTTCTTGTTTAATTTTTCCATAAAACCTGATTAAACTCCACCATTCTGATTATATGTGGTATCTCCCTCTAGCATGCTCTAACATACATGTTAAATGTTAAGATTACTATGCATATTAAAACTCTTACATAAAAGGTCAGCCAGCCCAAGGCTCAAATGTAAGTGGACTGGACTATGGTGAGATGAATCTTTCAGGACCTCGGACAGCAAGATTTTAGCACTGTGAGATCCCAGCTTTGATCTCTCAAGGTGGTCTACTTTTCCCTGTAGGTTTTTTTTTAACTATCTTACATGATGAGAATCTTAGCAGAATGAGTGAGATTCCATAATGGAAAGACGCAGAGTCGGGAATTGTGCGGAGTATTTGGCATGGATGACTCACCCTACCAAAGTCTACCCACTGATAAAATATTGGTGGACCAACCGCTTAAAACTTGTGTATTATAGATACTACTTTTTATCTGACTCTTGGTAACTCTATGGGGTAGATTTACTAAAACTGGAGCACTCAGAATCTGGTGCAGCTGTGCACAGTAGTCAATCACCTTCTAACGTCAACTTGTTCAGTCAAGCTTTGACAATAAAACCAAGAAGCTGAATGGTTTCTATGCAGAGCTTCACCAGATTTTGCACGCTCCAGTTTTAGTATATCTCACTCTATGGGTCAGCTCGCTGGGCACCATGTCTGAAACACTTAAGAGTGTTTTCCATAGAATTTTCCTGGCAGGTGTTTTACAGGGTAGGTCACCAGGTCTTTCCTCACACACCCCATGTGATAATACGCACGCATAGCCAATTTGTATACATATACCAGGGCCAATTTAGATTGGAGCCAATTACCCTACCTGCATTTCTTTGGAGTGTGGGATTTAAAGAAACCAGAGTACCTGGAGGAAACCCACACAAGAACTGGAAGAACATACATACTTAACCGCCTCCCGCCCGCCATATAGTCCAATGACGGGCCCAAGGTGGTTCTCTCGTTCTGGGAGGATGTCATATGATGTCCTCCCATTCTCACCGCGTATGCGCGCGCTCCGGAGCGTGCAGAGCGGCGATCGGCGGTGTGCTGTGTCCCTCGGATACAGCGGATTACCGATCCACGGAAAGAGCCAAAGATGTCAGCTCGGTCATGTGATCAGCTGTGTCCAATCACAGCTGATCGTATGTAAACAGGGAAATGTTGGTTATCGGCATTTCTCTCCTCACGAGCTGTCACGCTGACAGAGGAGAGGAGAGCCGGTAATCGGCATTCCTCGGAGGAGACATGTACACAGATCATCAGAGCACTGATGATCAGTGTGCCCTGATGATCTGTGTAACCCCAGCAGTGCCACCTGTCAGTGTCCATCAGTGCCAGCTCTCAGTGCTCATCCATGCCACCTGCCAGTGCCCATCAGTGCCACATCAATGCCACATATCAGTGCCTACCAGTGCACATCAATGCCACATATCATTGCCCATCTGAGCTGCCTTTCAGTGTCACCCATCAGTGGCAGTCAGTGCCACCTATCAATGCCAGCCAGTGCCACTTATTAGTGCTGCCAATCAGTGCCACCTATCAGTGCCAGTCAGTGCCACCTGTCAGTGCCGCCTATCAGTGTGCACCAGTGCTGCCTATCAATGCCAGTCAGTGCTGCCTATCAGTGCTGCCTAACAGTGCCAGCCAGTGCCACCTAACAGTGCCAGTCAGTGCCGCCTATCAGTGCCAGTCAGTGCCGCCTATCAGTGACATATATCAGTGCTGCCTTCCAGTGTCCATCAGTGATGCCTGTCAATGCCCATCAGTGCCACCTACCAGTGCCTCCTCATCAGTGCCCATCAGTGCCACCTATCAGTGTCCATCAGTGCAGCCTATCAGTGCCCATCACTGCAGCCTCATTAGCGCACATCAGTGAAGGAGAAAAAATAATTTATTTACAAAATTTTATAACAAAAACTAAGAAAAAACTTTTTTTTTTCACAATTTTCAGTGGTTTTTGGTTTAAGAAAAAAATAAAAACCCCGAGGTGATTAAATACCACCAAAATAAAGCTCTATCTGTCACAAAAAAAAATGATAAAAATTTCATATGGGTACAGTGTTGCATGACCGTGCAATTGTCATTCAAAGTGCAACAGCACTGAAAGCTGGAAATTGGCCTGGGCAGGAAGGGGGTATAAGTGCCCTGTAGGCTAGTGCTTAAAGGTTGCATACCTTTAAAATACTTATTATTATTCTATTATATTATTCTAATTCAGTTTTTCCGTTTTCCAACTGAATTTCTGAAACAGGACATATGCTTAGGTGTTATTTAATAGGATAATGCAAACAGTGAATGCCAATTGTTGCCATAGGGTACTGTACTTTGCTCTGCCTTATTAGAAAAGTCATACTGGCAACAATCCAACATAAATTGAGTTCACACTGACACAACAATAAAAAAGAACCCATAAACTTAAAAAAAAGTGATTGGTCCTTCAGCAGTTAAATAACTAGATAAAGCTAAGATGTTTACAGTACCTTCGTCAGTGTCCAGATTAATATTATAATGTAATACACAATGCACCCAGGTCACAGCCATTCTGAATAGTCACGTACACCGATCAGAAGCAGAGCTGCGTCATGAGCCCCAGCTACATGCAGCTCTCTGCTATGAAAGTAGAAATTTTAAAGGTTCCAAAAGTTTAAGTGTCGGTGACAAGTGAAGGTAAACATCCAACCGCAACAGGGACAGAAATACAATCCTTTAAGGATAAGTGCATTTTAGAACACTGAGCATTTATCCTTTATTCCCTTTCCCCTATCCTAACCAAACCCATATTACCTTGAAATTAAGGCCTCATGCACACTGGGCATTTGCCTAGCTCTTCTGAATACCTTTTTTCCTAGCAGGAGAAAAGCACCATTAAAAACACACCCAATGCCTAGTACACACAATGAGAAAATCAGAAAAATAACCCTTTCGAAGCGATCGTACAATACTCTGATCGTTAGTACACAGCTTTCAAGAACCGATCATGACAGTTCATGCAAAATTATCCGAAGGGACAAGCATAATATTTTTCTCGTATGATACTAGAATTAATGATTTTTGTTTAAGCAGAACAGTATTCGTACGTAAAAAATCAGGTTTACCACTCCTGTGTGCTTCCACCTACTGCTTCAAAAGTTGTGTCCAGGAGGTCTAGCCTATCATGTGTGGTAGACATGCCCAAAGGGCAAAAGATTTTGGATCCACACTTTAATTACTCGATTTACTCTCTTACTGGTGTTAACCTCATCAAAGCCCACAACAGGCACTATTGGGTCGTCCAGAGGAGGGTGTCTCGAAACCCATAAGATCATTGAGAACATTCATATTCATAGCAGCATGTATCACTATTGCTAGATCCTGGAAGTCTCCAGTGGTTCAGTTTGAATTATTGAAGAAAAAGCTGTCTTGGGTCATGAACAACTAACGCCTTTCGGTACTCTTAAATGACAGACTGCCGTTATTCGAAAACACGTGGGATCCGTGGATCCAACACCTGATGGGTGATACTAGTTGAACTAAAAACATCTCCCCCATGCCTGGAATGGACACTTGCTCCTATCTCTACCTTCTTTCCTCTCCTTCTTTCACCACTATGGTTTCTTGGGTCAATGTTTACTTGGACAATCTCCTTGACCTATATATGGTTGTTTGAAACTTTGCATTAACTATGGCAAACTCTCTGATGCCCTACTGAGTTTTAAATAGCATAATTTTGGAGATACTGAACACCTTCGGTCAGCTAGTTAAGCCAGAGGAGACTTCGTTAAAGGGGCTCTATGCAATAATCAGGGGTTAGTAAAGCAGAGCTCCAGCCACAATTTAAAAAAATAAAAGTCAGCATCTACAAAAACTGTATAAAAAACAGACACTCACCTGACCTACGATCCAGCGGTGTCCTCACTGCAACTGGTTTTAGTGGCTGTTCTTTCTCCCCAGTGTTGGCATATTCAGTGTGGGCACCCGGCTGTGACAGCTTGAGTCTTCACAACTGGGTGCCTACTGCATGCGTGAGTAGCACTGTGCTTTCTGAATGGTCCCGTAGTCTTCAGGGACTTGTCACATGTCCCAGAAGACTACGAGGAGGGGGGGGGGGGAGCAGGACAACTTCTGCTTCCGAACGCCTAGGTGATTGCAGCAGAAGTGGGAGCAGGAACCTGTCAAAATTGGGTACCCGCTCCCCAACGGTGCCCATCTTTAACGGGGAGCGGGGAACAAGGCCTTAAAACTGAACTTCCCCTTTTGGGTGGAGCTCCACTTTAATATTTTTGTAGTTTGTTGTGTTCTAATTTGTTTGAAACAGCGACCCGCTGATGGTCTATTATACTTTTCTATCTATTTCATATGTGCCTTATTTGTTCATGGAAAACCTAATAAACATATTGCAAACAAAAAAATCAAGTGACCATGCTCGGAAAATAAAAATAATACATTACAATACATTACATCAACGTGGGACATTGTATTCTGTTATACAATAATTTTTTTAACCGCTATTACCTGTTAAATTTTGATATGACACTAGAATACAAAAAAAATGGATGATCATTCGTCTGATATTTTCATCGTGTGTACGAGGCTCAAAGCTACGCTTTGCAAACACGTTCAGGCGTGTCAGGCTTTTGGTTGTTCATTAATTTCACTGGCCAAAATATTCTTTTATTCTGACCACTGAAATGAATAAACGCTCAAGCACATGCTACTAGCACGTAGGCGCGTTTATAGGTGTCTATATATATATATATATATATATATATATATATATATATATATACACAGCTTTTTTTTTTACAAACGTTTTTATTTTATCAAGAAATAGGCTGCAAAAGCAGCTTAACAGCATAAGGTATAATATACAACAGAAAAAAAAAAGACACATCTGTAATATTCATTCTAATAAGGTACAGTTATGTAGAACATAAATGTAAAGTACATGAGCAAGGTAGGCTGGAAAGTAGGCAGAGCAATAAGGCCACCAACAGAAAGATACCATCATTTAAATCATGAATATTCATTGGTCAGACAGTTATATTTAGCGTTTTTGTCTGCTGAAACACTCCTCTCCTGAATGCGCAAGTGATGTTTTTTTTCCTGCCTCTAAATGCCTGTAAAAGCCTATGTGTGCATGATATAGGCTAATATGGTGGGGTGTTTAGAGGCAGAAATAAAATGTTAAACGCCCTCAAAAGTGGCAATTTTGGTGCCCAGTGTGCATGAGACTTTATACTGGCTGTGGTTTTGCTATCTATTTACATCCAGCACTACAAACATTCACTGACTTGCACATTACAACCCCAAAGTCTTTCGTAGGACCATCACCGTTCACCTCTGGCCTTGGGCAAATCCCCATAGAAGTCTATAGGGCCATAATAAGCCGGCATGGCTGGGACAGTAAAGACTTGCACCACTGGAAATAAACATACAGCAGAACCAAGAGCCATCAGATTGGGGTACGTATGCAACTGAGGGGGGGGGGGGGGGGGTTAGGTTATGTCTAGGGAAGGATAAATGCACTTTGTTTGAAAGTGTACTCAACCTTAAAGTAGAAGAGCAGAAGGCTGAATCCCATACAACCCTTTTTATTGTTGTCCTTGAAAAAATAAAAAGCAAAAAAAAAAGTGTTCTAACCCTTCCCTGCTCCTTAAAAATTAAAAATGAAATAAACCAAAAATACTCTTTCAGAGAAATCTGTAGCACTGTGACCATATATATTATTATTATTTATAGTCACAGCACTACAAACTTCTTTGAGTTGTATACACTGTGTGGCAGAAGTGAAGCATTAATCAGTAGAAGGGATTTTCACTTATTTGGTCTGTGGTGCAGAGTATACGTTAAAAAAAAAAAGTTAGCCAGAACGTACATTTATTTTCCACTGCTGATTATTCAAGTAAGAAAGTGTTGTTGTTTTTTTCCTATGTAGCTTACTGTTATTTACAATCAATTCTACAGATGGATCTCGTTTCACAGATTCGCTTTGCACACTTCCACCAAGGTAACAATACATCTGTCAACGGCTAGACTTTGGTTTGGGATTAGCTGGTACTGCATGACATGGCTATTTGTCTCATAAAAATAATACAAAGAAACCGACTGGCTGTATAAAAGAAAACTAGAGCAAATAGAAGCAGTCAAGTATCCACAGCATCCAATCAGGTTTTACATTTATTTCTAAACTACACAAGCAAAACAATAGTAAGAATCTTATTGGTTGCTTTCAACAGTGACATCAAATATATAATACTGCGAAAGAACATGATATTTGATCATTCCATCCATACAAACATATCAGCTGTCAAGAAAACAATTCATGCAAAACTAACAGTCTTAAAAAATATGCTGACCAGAGAAAATTACCTGAAATATGCCATATTCTTCCAACCCCCTCTGGGAGGGATGAGGAGTAACCCATGATGCCTAAAAGAGATAGAAACTGATGCAAAAGATCCAATCGGAGAAGAAAACCAACTTTTTGATAAAAAAGCAAAAGATAGGATTTTTGAAATTTAAAAAAGTTTCAAAAAATCCTATTTAGGCTCTT